TGGAAGATTATACTGTCGATTTCTGCTTCTAATTCCAAATATCCGCAAGCGCAGATTGTGAGTTGAAGACTACTGCAATAGGGCCTTGATCAACTACTAAAAAAACTTAAAAAAAAAATAGAGCAAAGTTAAAATTTACCCATAGAAATGTTCTGGACAATCACCAAGGTGTAAAATTGGATTGGTGTTCTCGTACAACAATGGTCCAGAAACTTTATTCTTTTCCTTCGCAGAACTATAAAACGAAAAGCACTGAATAAGATTTGAAGGTGATAAAGTAACGAAACAATGAATGAGAACGTATCTAAAACCCTGAGTCCCTGACCAAAGAAGCACATGTAGGGAACAAACCTTGAAGTAACCAAAGAAGAGAGTTGGTTGGCTGATGAATCTCCACGACCAGTCAACATAAGTGGACGGACCTGCTGAGGCACAGTCTGAGATGGAGGGACAGAGTTAAGGCTGAGTGGAGGAGGCAACACCACAGCTTCAATAACAGGCTGAATTCCCTGATCATCTTGTGGAAGCACATGAAAGACCCTAAATTCACTGGTTGAAACTCCATTAGCACCTGCCATCGGTAGCTTCACTTCCAACCTAACGAACCGGCCATAGAGCGCCTCAAGTTCAGGTGGAAGCGGGCCAGGCCTGTGAGGATATCTTTGGGCAAGGCTCTGAGCAAATGTGAAGACCAAACTGTTCCCACAAGGACCAAAGACAATAAAGGGAGCTTCTCGGTCGGATCACGCAAGATAAGCTGGATTTTATACCTGCAGTCGAGTATGGAATCATAAGTAAACGAACAAACCCCAAACAGAAGGCCCTAAATGCATGCATAGAGTTACCCGATTGTGACTTGATGATCAGCAACCTCCCAGTGTTCAGGACACCAATAACTATTGTTCCTCCATGTAGAACACTTTTTACGACAGTGATTGCATGACACACATAGTACCATGGGATCTGAGACTCAACGAACTTGACAACTCCACTACAATGATGCTTCTCATCCTAAATATATATAAAAATAGAACATGAAAACCAAAGGATAGGCAAACAATGGAAAACTTACAACACCAATAAATAAAAGATCGCACCAGTAAAGCACCACCACGATGAAGAGAACTCAGCTAAGAAATTGTCCTAGTGCGACGCTCAACATCAGTCGCAGCTGCCTTATGAGTTGCAAATTGAACAGCAAGCTCAGCCACCGGAGCCCTTGATCCAGCAAAGCTTATAAAGGAGGACACATTCAAACCAAACACTTCAAATAAAAGGAAGGAACAAAAAGTGCGAATAACGTACAGGGTGGCCAGTCCATATGCCTATGAAATGGGAGGGTTGATAGCCACACGGGTTCCTGAAGAACTCGAACAAGTGTAAACACCATCTGAGTAACAAAAGACAAACCAAATTAGCCAATGCAGAATTGTCAAAAGATTAAAAGAAAGATGGGAAGCTCACCTAGCACCCGACCAACCATAAGACCTCCAAATTCAATAATAACAGGTTCAATGTTGTCTGCCTGAATAAGAGCAACGCGATCTAGAACTGCAGTGAGCTCATTCCACAGGGTAATGAAAAACCTCTGCCTCCTATACAAGAAAAAAAACCCATCAGCGTACAGAAACAACAAACATGAGAAACCCAGCACTGGAAAAGACCCCAAATAAAAAGGAGCTCAGTGGTCATTTTCAATTACCAAAACTTGTTTAGGATTGGAACCATGAGTTGTTATCTGATGATCAACACCTCCTATAGAATGAAGACGACCAATTACATCTGCACAATAAGTTCGATTAAAGAATCATAAGAAAAGCGAAGGACACAAAATAAACATCAATAAAAAATGGATTTGGGGCCTGACCTGACAGGATATTATTATTCCCAGCGCGTATAGGCAGCCCTGCGTATGGAACAATCTCGAAAGAGTCAGCAGGGAAATCAGCGGCTAGAAGACTGCACGGCTGGAAGTTGTTGTTTCTCGACAGATCCATTGTGAGATCCATCGAGCAAGCCCGATATAGATTCATGGCAGCGCTGAGACCAAAACCCCTGATTATGTATATCGTTCCAAAGCGCATCAACCTTTCAAAATCAAGTCCCATCTTAGGATCAACAAGACTCTGAATCAACATCCCCTGCATGGAAGCGAAAAGGCATAAATTTCCACAGTTTAGAGAAGAAGAGCATCGCGCAGATGCTAGAAGAGAATAAAAAGGGACTCTTTAAATACCGTTTGATCCACCCTAAGGCAACAGTAGCTGAAGACCCTGGTTCCAGCAGGATTCTTCGCGTACCAAACGTGCAGCAAACGCAAACGGAGAAACACTTCTCTGATTGCCCCTTTCAGATTGCAAAGCAACGTAGCATCCATCACAAGCAGAACGCACGAAAAACGCAAATCCAACTAAAGAAACAGGCGGAGAAAAGCGGGGAGAGAGAGAGTCGAAAGAAGTTCACAAAATAGAGAGAGAAACCAGTTCTGAAAGTGGCAAGACCCAGGTAGAGAAACAAAGAAGAGTTCCCACTAAATCCCCTGCGCAATCCAAATTTCGTGAGATGTGACAAATATTCTCCTAATCATTTCGTAAATAATTTGAGAGTCTAAAGAAGGCGGCAAGCATTTATTGCCAATTCCCCCCTGAGGAACCACCCCACTACCGTCGCAGCTCCTCCACTCAGCGTCTGCAGCAGCTGACAACAGAAGTGACAAGCCCAACCATCAACTCGAACAACTGACCCAATCCCTCCCCCCATCCCGAAAAACCCCTCGCGGAGAACTCAACCAACCCACCGGCCATCCAACCCACGTCATCACACGGGAACCCATAACTCCTGGATCTCTGACGGCCAACACATTCCAGGACAACAAATCAACAAAGGGCAAAACTAAATATGAGTTATCCATCAGTTAGGGCCCAACGAAACAGGCAACAACCTATTGATCTCCAATGAGTCCATAGGCAATGGACGACCACTCCCAACCACCTTCCAGTTTGCTACAGTATTCATGAGTCTATATGTGCAGTAAAAGCAGTCTAGATGCACAGTAAAAGGGGAAGTTGGAGGTTTTTCTTTCTTTAATAGGTCATGATTTAAAATTGCAATTTCAGTCTATCAATTTTTGTTTTGCAATTTCAGATAAAGGAATCAGTGAAGGATGTGATTGAATAAATGACAATTAGAGATAATGTCATTTGAAAAGATTAGCTACAATTCTTTTAATCCTTGATCTGCTAGTGCAATTAAGCGTGCCGCACTTCGTTCGATCACACCTCACACCAATTAATCGTACCTATTTTTATGTTAGTAATTATAAAAGCCTAATTATCTGCCTAGCACCTAGACAATACATTTTGTCACTATCTAGTACTTAGGACTTAGGCGTTCATAGAATTACGCTTTCTTAACCCTACCCTCAACCCTTCCCTCCGCCATTGTAATGAGGTTAAAGATTAGAGTACTTTGTTTTGTTTGGGATGACAAAGTGTTAAGGAATATTTTCCCCATATACTATGACTGTCTCAACAATATTATCTAGATATGACTTTTTTAATGGGATTTTTTTGTTATTTTACGTAGTGAATTGGTTTCTAATGCATAGTTTTTTGTGGTGAATTTATGTGGTGATGCGCAATCTCTTATTCAACATGTTTTTGGAGCGGGACAATGTTGATGGACTCGTAGGAGTTTTATTGGATGTAATTCATTGTCTTTCTTTGTCATTTATTTCATTTTAATGTACTTATACTTCGAATAGGTTTAATAAGATTATCCATATAGTCACACAAAATATTATTTTATCGAAAATATTTGTCAACGGCTGCATTTAGTTATACAACTCGTTGTGACTATCTATTTTGAACATGATATCTAGGGGGAAATAACATTACGTGATAGAGTATATTTATTTATCTTACTTAAACATAAGACGAGACAATGGATTTAACACTTTGATAATATGGTCGATGGCTGAGCCAGAGGGTTTTGGTTTTGTCACGAGATACATGTAAATTTTATAGAAAAACAATAAACTCGTATATATGCTTATGAAAGAGATAGATCTCATCACATTAAGATAACATAAGAGTATTTTGCGACTAAACTAAACTTATTTTATTATTTAGTTGTTATAAATTTAATTTATTACACTTTAAATGAAATCTCCATTGAAATCATTTATATTTTGAAAAAAGGACAAACCTACTTTCAACATTTGGCTCCGTCAATGAATATGGTGTGAGGGCTAAAGAATATTCAACATAACATGGAACTTAGGGGTCATTTAGGAGGTAGGATTTGTTACTATACTTGTACGAGGTTGTTTGGATTGAGTATTTAGGCGTATTATTTGGGTCAAATAACACATTTTGTGACATACACAATCACGCATGCAAAACGTCACATTTTACAATGTATCAAATTCGATAATACATGTGTATTATTATACACGTATTCATAACAATACATCTATTTAACAATCACAACTTCTGAACGATCCCTTAATCTCGACGCACGAATCGTATTTAGATTGTGTAGTAGAATATTGTTGATGTTTTAGCGTATAACATCCTTTAGGACTTGACCCTCGATTTGGTCAGTACTCCCTAGTGTTGGGCAAACGAAGTTCACACTTGTACATTAATTATGACAGTTTGCCAGAGCCTTTTTCCTCATATTTTTCTGCTCACTCATAGGCATACTCCTAAACCCTATATATATTGAACAACCACAAAAAGACTGTTGTTGCCGCTTGCCGACGTTCATTAACCAAAATCTACCAAAAGATCATTGAAACTGCCGGCCAGGAAAGGAGATCCTGAAGTCACAAAGAAACTTCGATCAATGGATGAAGCCGAAACAACACCTACTCCAAGGAGACGACCACCAACAATTTGACAAAATCAGAAGAAAACACATGCAACAATCTCTGAATGAGGCACCTCCACCTTCAATTCCAAAATCACATTCAAGCCGAAACATAAAGAAAAACTACTGCATCTCCGAAACTTCATCTCACCACATCATCGAAACGATCAAGCCCATTATTTTCCCCTCAAATTTCAGATCACGCTGATGAAAAAGACAAAGCTTTGCCTCCCTTGACATTTTGTTTCTTCCAGCGTTATTTACAATATTATTATTTGATGGCATCGCTTTTATAATTCAACTGAATACTAAAAAGGAAACCAAGTGGCACAACATGTTAAACCTAAAAGTTAAAACTCAAGATCTCAGGGGAAGAAGAAGATAATGGTGGACAACCACTCCACTCCATTTCCACTTTCAGCAAAAATATTGAGCAATAGAAAATGATCAATTTCCTTTTGTGGGTTACTGTTTATTCACCCACGCTTTTCCCGAACATTTTCCCTTTTGTTTTAAATCGCCGACTGGTTTTTCACCAAGAGTGGCTCTGTGGCTGATGGGGGCCGCTTGCCAAACTGGGGAAGTATTTCTGTTTTTTTTGGGATTTTAATTTGCAAATTTTCCAGAAAGAAGAAGTAGAGAGAGAGACAGCAGAGACGTATTGATTCCACTAACCAAAATCGTGTGGCCGTGGTTAGTCCAGAAATAAAGAAATCAAAATTCGTGTGGCCGTCGTCAAGAGCTCCCCCAACAGCCATGGCCCGCACTCTCACCTTTCCTTTTCCTTCCTCTTCCCTTCCCTTCCAGAAAATTTTCTCGCTTGGAAAGTCGAAAGCGGCTTCAGTTTCATCCAAAAAATCGTTCCATCTACCAGCTGCCAATAAACCCTCCGCCTTCTCCCGCCGCGGCCGCGCAAATCAAACTTCCCCGCCGATTTTCCTTCTCTTCTTGCAGCGGAGATCTGAAGCTCGGTTCAACTCTGTGCTTTTAATGGCGTTGACGGAGCGGAGAACAGAAGAAGATTTGTAGAGGAAGAGATTTTCAAGATAGAAGGCACTAGCAAAGGGAAGAGGAAGAAGCCGAAATAGTACACACTCAGCAGAGGGCGAAAAAAAAATGCGGACGCTCTGTGACGTTTGCGAAAACGCCGCCGCCATCCTCTTCTGCGCCGCCGACGAGGCTGCTCTCTGCCGCGCCTGCGATGATAAGGTTTGATTTCACTCGTACGGTTAAGGAGCTCAGATGATGATGTTAATAATAACAATAATAATACGCAGAAGTTCCGATCTCGGTCGAATCACGGGAATCGTATTCGTAGTTGAATTTGTCTTTCAACTTTTCAGGCCGGCCGAAGATTTGTGTAATTGGAAATTCAATTATTAATTTTAGATGAAGGCGATAAAGCTCTATTAATAGTATATAAGCATGTTCTGTGGCGTAGCGGCAACAGAGATTTGTATGCGATTTGCTTGTGCGAGTTTCTAGCTTAGAGTTAGTTGTGATGGCGACGGGTCTTTTGTGGTCCGTTTGCTTGCAGGTTCATTTGTGTAACAAGCTAGCTAGTCGGCATGTGCGTGTTGGGCTAGCTGTTCCGAACGCGGTTCCTCGTTGCGACATTTGTGAGAATGAACCTGGTATGTGACGTATTGCGTGAGTAATGAGATGCTTATTCTTGCAACGCCATGGTGCTGTGCTGTGGTTGATTCACTTTCAAACTTAACCTGTACAAACATTCATTGTAGCGTTCTTTTATTGCGAGGTTGATGGTACTTCGCTCTGCCTGCAATGCGACATGTCTGTGCACGTTGGTGGCAAGAGGACGCACGGGAGATATCTCTTACTGAGGCAGAGGGTGGAGGTTTGTGTCTCTCCCCTGTATTGAAGCTTGCAGCAGAAGTAAGAGAAGTTTTGCTGAGAAAATTAACATGGCTTGGTGCTGTTTGATTTTCGTGTTGTTTTAGTTTCCAGGTGACAAACCTGGCCATGTGGAGGATGATGTTATGAGGGATCAAATGCCGCCACCTAAATTTATGAAGCCAGTAACTCAGCAAGATCGTAGGGTTTCTCCGGCTCCGGTGGCAGAGAACAACAATTCGGTTGGCAGGAATGGAACAATGGAAAATAATTTGTTTGACCTTAATTCCAGCCCTCGAAGAACTAATGGGAAAGATCCGACTAACCAGGTTCTTACATTTTTTTTTTTATAATTATTCTTGTAGTAGTGTTAGGGTCTGTGCTGCATGATGAACATCATCACTGCTAGTTTCAAAGCATTAGCTTATTAGTCGTTAACCAAATTATGTGGGATTCTCTTTGTATCAAAGGGACAGGGAGGTAACGTAGCGAATGGGGCAAACTGAAGAGTCTGCTAATGTTGTGGTTCAAGGACCCTTCAAAAGAGAGCATGCAAAAAGTAAATCAAGGTATGGCTACAGCTCTTTGGTTTGGCTTTGAGCTTGTAATGAGATAACTTTCATCCAAAGTGTTGTGTAGATCTGAACTGCAGACATTTTCGCCTAAATACGAACGTTTCAAATTAGTAGCAAGGGACATTCTAAGTCACTATATGTTTGGCATCAAAGGAAGAAACAGATAGTTTTTGATGCATATATGATCTCATTCGTTGTTGACAATGAACTCTAAATTCTTGATTTTTGTGGATATAGATGACTCTCATGGTGCCCGATTCTGAAGACTTCAATAGCTCGAAACTCGGCCTTTCACACCATTATCATATAGGATAGATGGTTAGTACACTACTGCTGCCTACGGTTGGTTAGGAGAGAAGCTGAGATTTTTTCCTTCTTTTTTGTGTCTGTGTAAAGCAAAATGCAGCTTTTGTTGTGAACCAAGTACAAGAAACTCGTTCAGTAGGGCGGTTCTGATGCTAGTTAATGGTTAACATTTATACAAAACCACATGCTGTTTGATGTAAGGACCTCAATAATCTGTTAAACTAGTTCATCTGCCCAGAAACTGCTGCAAAATTAGGCCATCAACGCCTAAATTAGCCTCCCTAATCCTCCTCCTCGAAGGGTTGGGGTCATATTACAAAAAAAGTCACATCTACGTTAGCTTTCTTGAGTCGCTCTCTCCCTTCAGGGGAAGGAAGAAGCAAAAGGTTCCCAAGTCTGGAATCAAGATCTACATGATGCGTAAAACAGTGCGTTGATCAAAATTCAATCATTCAAGTTGATGAATGATCTTACCTCCTGCTCAGAGCAAGTACATCTGCAGCAATCGGTGGACTCTCCATGAACAGAGCATCACTCCTGCATCTCAAGACCCACCTTGGAATCCTTAAACCAATGGAACTCCTGCCATTCCTGCCACAACTTTGAGATCCCTTCCTTCCTGGAACACGAATGGTAAGCTTCCTCTTGAGGGAGATCTTGGTTTCGATTCCATCTCTACCGTCTAAATCCTCCAGCAGCTTGTCTACGGCGTCTTCTCAGTAGCAGCTGCAGTGCTCAGTTTCAGGTGAAGCCAGACTGCACTGCCAACCACTCTTCTCTTGAATTTACAGGTCAGTTTCTTCAGCTATTTCACCTCGCTCTTCTTCTTCCTCTCGGTGAGCTCGAGAACAACAGTTAAATTGACGAGCCGGGGAAGCTCTTCCAAGAAATCACCTTGAAACTTTGGAGACTGGAGTAATGGAGGACTTTTGTCGTCATATCAAAAGATCAACGACGGCGTGATCCCGGGGTATAGAGACGGTGGGAAAGCAATCTTATGAAACGCAGCTGCCGATCGATCACTGGAGCGCACAAATATCCGTCGGTGAGGGACGAACAACACAGAGGTTAGGGTTTGAGAGGCAGATGAATCGCCGCTGCCGCCATCTACCTGGAGCTACCAATCTACATATATAAACCATCGTACATAGAACATTTGGAAGGATCAAGCCGATCATGCAACAACCAAAAGTTTAGATAGACAATGCAATAAGAGATAGGCGATCAATGGTCGAATTATTGGGAAGTCCTATTAAATACGTGAGTATAAAACTACAAGAGAAAAATGAAGCAGAGAGTCGTCAGACATGGAAAAAAGTCAAAACTATCATTGTTTAAAAAAAAAATTAGGAGTCGTTTGGATGGGGTATTCAAACGAGGCCGAAATAACTCATTTGGATGGAAAATAATGAAATACGTTATTTGATCATGAGTTATTTATAAATAACTCATAAATGAGGTATTTATTTAGAATACCACATGGGGAGGAGTTATTCACAAATAATGGGTTTTGAGGGCTTTTTTATTCCAATCCTGTCCCTGCTTATTTTTTTGTAAACCCCACTTTGTCCTTCTTGCATCATATCGAGACAGACTAACCATTTGCTTCTTCCTTCTTCTCATTCTGCTTGCTCCCTTCTCTCTCTCCTGGCGAACAGCTCACGAGTGAACAGAACAATCGCCGGCGGCATCGACCTGCTAGCAAAAGGAAGCTGTCGGAGTTAGCGGATCGTCTGCTAGGGTCGGTGAGTGAATCTTCTTCTCTATTTCTCGTATCGTGTTCCTCTACCTCTCTTGCCATGTTCCACATTAGTATTTTCCGATTTAGGGTTAGAGAAGGGTTATAAATACAAGGGTTCATCTGATATCCTATATCTACGGAGTTTGCGTATTTCACAATCTGAATCAAAATAAAAGGGTGTTGTTCTCCTGATTATTCTGTTCGGTTCATTTTATGTGTTGTGATGCGCTCTCCTTCTCGGCTTCGGTCGAGGGTTTTTCTTGGCAACTCGCTTGGTCTGCTGTTATGGAACCATTTGTGATGTCGATTTATTGGTCTGTTGTTGTTTCTTGGGGCACTTACTTTGTTCATCACAACGGTCCCTTTCAATTTGGTTTTGGATGCTTTTCTACAATGTTCATGAAATGGCTCAGTCTTCTCAATCTGGTTTTTGGGAACACTATATATTGTTTAATGCAAACCATTGGGAAGCTTAGTAAGATGTTCCATAAAAGAGAGCGTTATCATGTAAATCACTAATTCAAAATTTCCTGTCTTGTAAGGGATGTCGCGTTTGTCCGCATTGAATCCGACGCGTAGGCGACAAGTGGTTGCTGCAATTAGCGCTTTCATGAATCTGATTGTGATATATGTGAGTCTAGGGATGGAATTGGCTAAAATCTTAGAGAAACGTCAATCTATACCTCGACTTGCTAGGCAACCATTGGATAGCTACTTGGTTAGGCACTATGATAGGCAAAGGCACCTTAGAAACACAACCAGACTAAGTGACACCTATACCTTTGACCATGTCAGGATGAATCGTACATTATTTAGAAGGTTTTGTGAGGTTCTTATTGTAGAAGGAGGGTTGAAGAAAACTAGGAACGTAGACATTGATGAGATGGTTTATACCTTTCTTCGTACCATTTCACATAACGAGAAGAATAGGACTTTGCAATTGAATTTGCGACGATCTGGTGAGACTATATCTCGATCAATTCATCGTGTGCTGAAGGCTGTTATTAGATTGAACAATCTGCTGATGAAGAAACCGGTTCCTATTCCTAACAACTGTACCAACAGTAGGTGGAAGCATTTTAAGGTCAATTTTTATGCCTTTTCAATCTTTTTATTCAACTTTGCTATATTTAACAACACTATATTTTAACACCTAATTGTTTCTGTTAATAGAAGTGCCTAGGAGCCCTCGATGGAACCCATATTGATGTTCGTCCATTGACTGAGGACAAACCTAGATACCGAGATAGGAAGGGTGACATCTCTATGAACGTCCTAGGTGTTTGCACTCCCAACTTGGAATTCATATACTGTCTTGCTGGTTGGGAGGGTAGTGCTCATGACAGTAGGGTGCTTCGGGATGCTCTCACTAGACCAAATGGCCTTGTTGTGCATGAAGGTACAACATTTTGAATATAATTCAATGGAACTTACATTTGATATTGTTCAATGAATAGCATAACTGAATCTGTATATACTTTTGAATGAAGGAAATTACTATCTGTGTGATGCCGGGTATGCGAACAGCCCTGGATTTTTGACCCCATATAGGGGTCAAAGATACCATCTCAAAGATTGGGGTAACAGACAACCTGAAACAGCTGAAGAGTATTACAACATGAAACATTCATCTGCTAGGAATGTAATAGAGTGCATTTTCGGTGTTCTGAAGATGAGATTTGCCATTTTGAGAAATGCAACATGGTTCACTCCAGAGCAAGTGTCCCGAATAGTTATAGCTTGCTGTATAATACATAATTTTATCAAGAAGGAATATGGAGTTGATGAGATTGAAAGAAATTACCAGGACGAAGAGCCCGAACAGATTCCTTCAATTGATATGGAGACCATTGATGGTACTAGCATGCAACCGTGCGCACAATGGACCCAGCTTCGCAATGAAAAGGCCACTACTATGTGGGCAAATAGATAGACATGTTATGATTTGTTTTGGTCCCTTTTGTAATTTTCCATGTTTTTTCTAGTGTAAGAACACTTGCTGGCAGAGCAATAGGGTGCTGAACTTTATGGTTTGTTTGGTAGATATGGTAGAAGAAACATTGAATGCTACCAAGTTGTCCCTTTTGTCAGTTTATTAATATGTAATGTAGGACAGATGTCTCGAGAACATGGTTTGTAATGTTGTTTAAATTGCCAAACTGTTTATCTTATGCCATGTTTATCTCACTTTTGTGTGCTATTACTAGTGCAAATGAGTATCATGTTTATATTCTGCCATTGAGAAATGCCATGTCATGTATGAATGTTTTCAGGTACGGGGAGGAGAAATAAAGTTGTTGGGGAGACGGGAGATGCCTCCAAAGCAGAATACAACTTCTGGGATACAGCTCATGATGGTCCCTTCCTGGAATGTTTGCTGGAGCTGACAGAGAGAGGATTCATCACCAATGGAACTTGCAAGAACGGTGTGTTTAAGCAGATACAAAAGATGATGGAGAAGAAAGTGCCCGAATGTGGTCTAAAAGCAAAGCCTACGATTCAGAATAGGTACAAGAAGCTGAAACACTGGTTTCATTCGACCGTCATGATGCGTGGGCTAAGCGGATTTGGTTGGGATCCGGTGCAAGAATGTATAAATGCAGACAAGGCAGTTTGGGACGTATTCATTGCGGTATGTCCTGTCATTTATGTTTTGATTTTAATGACAAACATTTGATGTTTGGTTGGTAGGTGTACTTTTATTTATTGATGTCTTCTTTTTATACTTTGAAGCAAAACCCAACCTGTAAAAGCTATGAGGGACTTCCATTCCCACAATTCGATGACCTTGCACCGGTGTTCGCCAATGGACGTGCCATCGGAAGTGGAGGAATATCAGGTCCAGAATTGTCATTTGGAATTAATATGGTTGTTTCATATTTATGTTTATTGCTGTGTTCATACTAACGTAGTTAACTATACAGGAAATGACCCGGATATTAATGTTGATGACTCTGATAGTGGCTCGGAGGATGATGAAGACCCTCCGCTCTTTATGGATGGTTTGGTCCCTCCTACAACGGACGAAGACATGTTCAATATCATAAATGAGGGGGTGGCAGAGAAGAATCAGAACCAGAAGAAGAGACCAGCCAAGACTACCCATGGTGGATCATCAAAGAAGAAGAAAGGTCCAGCAGCACCATCTGATGATAATGGATCTGAAATGTCTAATGAAATGGTACTAATGAGGCCGCTGATCAAGGAGTCATTTGACACAATTGCTAGAGCTCTAGGAGAGAGTGAGGAGCATGATAAAATGCGAAAGGAGTTGATGACAAATTTGGACAAGCTCGAGGGCCTCACCCAACTACAGAAGGTGCAGGGATTTAGGAGACTCAATGCCACACCGTCAGATTTGAAGAGTTTCTATGAACTGGATGAAGTAAACAGGCTGACCCTTGTTCTTGATCTGCTGTCAAATTGAAGAAAGTCAGGATATGTAGCTGTATAGGTTTATAACAGGTCATGTGTTGTCTATTTTGCAAAGAGACCCATGGTTTTTGTCTATCTGTCATTCAGATGCACTCTTGATGACAGTCTTTGCAAATGGAAGACAACTTTTGTAAAGTACTTTGGTGAAGTGATCTGTGCATATGTAGGAACTTTTGTACAACACTACTGGTTAGGAGCTCTAGCATAGGATGCAACTTTTGTACAACACTACTGGTCCTGTCTAGTATATTAGGAATTATTGTAAATCACTGATGGTTGTTTTCAACATTTGACAGCATCTATGGAGCTAGTATTTATGGGTTTTCAACAGATATGATGTTCCTATTGTTCTGCACAATTTGGCAGCAAGTATATTGCTGGTTGTTCTTCAACATTCAACAACATTTGACATAACTCGTGAGCTCAGTTAACACAACAAACTTCACTGACAATAGAACACTAGTATTACACAAAAGTTACAGAATAAGCTTACAAACATACATCAATCTCAGTGTTCTTAACAAGCATGATTACAGATAAAAACAACTTCAAGCTACACTAGTACCAAACACAACACACAATCATCACTAGTTAATGGTTAATCGATTCATCAATTTAGGCCCCGTTTAGTATCATTTTGTTGCTGTTGTGGTTGCAGTGGTGTTTTGTAAACAGATGTACAACCACAACAGGAAAAATACAGAAAACACAAACCTGTTTAGTTGATAAATCTGAAAAATCATGAAAGCTGGCAACAAGAAACTAAAACGTGTTTAGTTACTACTATAAGAACTAAAACCCAGAAACAGAGATATGTCCTCAACATTAGGCACTGCGAATGATGCCGCGGCGGCGGGGAGGGGAAAGGGAGGCGGCGACGCCTGGTCGAGCGGGGCGTCTGTTGGTGCGACGGGAGGGCGGTCGCGGCGGGAGGGGAAAGGGAGCCAGCAAGAGGGTGGTCGCGCGGGGACCGGAAAGGGAGGCGGCGGCGCCTGGTCGCTCGGGACGTCTGCTGGAGCGGAGGGAGGGTGGTCGCGGCGGGAGGGGAAAGGGTGCCGGCGGGAGGTTGGTCGCCCGAGGGCTTCTGCTGGCGGCGGCGGCCGGTGCGCGAGGTGGGGAAAGGGAGGCGGCGGGAGGGTGGGTGACAGGTTGGCGACGAGGCGGCTGGGGGGTAGAGGGTTTGGGGGGGGGAGCTGCTGGGCGTAGGGTTTGGGAGAAAATGAGAGGGTAGAGGGTTTGGGGTTAAAAAAAAAAAAGATGAAATTTTGGTTGAGGTGGGATTCGAACTGTGGGTTGGTTTAATGAAAACAGACCCTCAACCAGTAGGAAACCCGTGTAAAACAACTACAAGAATCAGATCCAAAGCAATAAATTGTTGTTTCTCTAATTTGGGCCCTGTTGTGCAAATCTGATTCACAACAAAAAAATAGAAACCCAACTAAACATGTTTTTTTTTCTTGGTTTCTCCAATCTTTAAAAACACAACAGGAAACAAAAACAGCAAACAATACTAAACGGGGCCTTAGTTGTTGATGTCGATTTTTGACACGCCAAAACACAACACCAAATTGCGACCAAGTGTAATCGCTGTCTGGGAATGCAGTAACAGGCAAGTTCTATTATCAACCCGGGGTCTAGATCTACTGCTTACTCCGTGATTGTCTATTATCTAGCCAACTAATTCGATTGATTGTTTTTTAAAGCAAAAGCAGTAAGAAAGCAGGAAATGGTTCGGTTTTCTAAAGCAGGAAAGAGTCACTCGGGAATGAGTCCCCCTAGCCCCTTAGTTAGGTTCAATTGTAATTCCCCTGGGTTGATTCACTGTTGATTAGACTACGGAAGATCCGACAGTAGCTTGGAATCTCTTAAGCTGACCAAACCCTCTCAGTCTAACTACCCGGCAGACGACTAGCCTTCACCGGGATAGAAAGCTGAAGCAATAAGCACAGAACTCCACTACTAGAATTGAATTCCAGTACAAAGCAGTAAACTGGCTAACTCTCGTATAGCCAATCTCCTACTATCGAATGAAGAGGCTCTAACAATCTAATCAGATTCTATCTATCTCAGGTTGCAGCAGAAATCGAGAAAAACTGATCAGACTTCAATCAATTCAATAAACATGCATCATTCGATTAAAACCAAACAATATAATCATCCCAAGTCATTACAATCAAATCCCTAACACAAGGAACTTTGGTTCTTCATACCCAAGTGAGAGAAGGGTTCTACTCCATAGAGAGAGAAGAGAAAACAATAATCGGAGTAGTCATACTCATAATGATGAGGAAAATCTGCTCCGGGATGATGATTTCCACTCCTATGACGATCTCCAAGCTCGATTTGACGAAACCCAGCTCCAAGATAGCTTCTAGGATGTGTTCTTCGTACTTTCTCTCTCTAGGGCTCTGTTTTTGCTCTCAAAATCCGATTCTTATTCTTTTGGCTCGAAATTGGCCGAAAAACCAGAATTTCCCGACTCACACGGGCAGGCCACACGGCCGTGTGGCTCACCCATTTGGCCGTGCGGCTCACCCATTTGGCCGTGCGAGTCGAAACGCAGCGTACCATTAAGTTGGCCTTCAGCCATCCCACACAGCCAGGGTTGCACGGCCGTGTGGATTTCATGGGATGCCCGTGTTTGCGCTCGGCAAAAGTCACACGGCCACAATTGCAACTTGCACGGCCGTGTGATACCCAGGACTGCCCGTGTGGCTTCCTTAGAACCTCGCCATGCGTCCGATCTTCATCCAATCGACCCCAAACTCGCTCCCAAGCCTCCATTCACGTACTAGGACCTGAAATATCACAAACAAGCACAACCTAGCGTGAAATCGGCCTAAAACACGAGAATCAATACCTCAAACGGTGTAAGAACAGGGGTAAAAACATGTGTAAATAACAGTCTATCAAACTCCCCCACACTTAACCGTTTGCTTGTCCCCAAGCAAACCAAGTCAGACACAAGGTAAGCTTACAAATTTCAATCAACCAACATTGGGGACAAGTCATAAAGGCACAGAACACGTGAATCGTACTGGTTTTCAAGCATCAACACATGAACAACCTCAATAGCAACCTGGACAACCACCACAAAGGACATTCGAGTGCAGCAAAATCGAGTAAAGGAAGAGTCTCCCTTCTGTTCACCAGCCAACCTAGACTTGACTCAACCACTTACTCAAAACAGTCAATTCATGCATCCAACTCACGACATCAGAATCGAGACCAAGCAATCTAGGTCCTCACCGGGGTACAAGAGTATATAGAATATGAAAATGAATCACTCACTCTCGACTAGTGGGGTCAGGACAATTTGATGCGAAAAATGCGCATGCTATTTCTCTCAATCCCTAACATCTCTTCACCATGATGACAGCCTCTAAATGCTAGAGTTCACATATGGGGTGTCACCACTAACTAATCAGGAGGTCTTAGACACAGGTTCAAATGACGGGCTAGGGTCTTGGACATGGGAAAAAAGGCCTTTTAAGTGGTGGAAGTATTCATAGCACAAGGTTCCACATTTCCAAACCCACACAATCACAGTCAAACAAACCGGTATTTCCTTTCTGCTATTCTGCATTACTCAATATCTCAAGAGCACAAAAGCGAAGGAGGTACAAATGTCAGCATTTCCAAGCCAGACTGCTAAGAAACACTACTTACTGGACATTATTCAGATTTTTGGTAGTGGCTCATCATAGGTTGTCCTAGTCACAATCAAGCTGTCATGCATCAATCCAAACACCATTCAATTCATCAATCAAAACACAGTGCCAATATGATCAAACAACAGTACTTGGAGCCCTCAAATCGTAAGATTCGGACAGCGGACTAGGCTCCAAGCACACAGATATATATTCCAACCGATACAAAGCACCAAACTCCCCCACACTTAAGCACGACATTGCCCTCAATGGAGTAGAGGGAGAGATAAGGGGAACGATGTTACCGGATTGAAACACTGCTGGGGGACTGGAAGTGGACCAGTCAGCGAGAAACAGACGGGAAGATGGACAGTTCTGTACAAATCGAACACCAAGAACACACTAGCACACTGTGCGTTAGGGATAAGTGTTAGCCCAGACGGCTACAACATAAACAAACCACAAAAGAAAAACAAAAACAAAAACAAACGACACTAAGTTCAAGCTCCTCACACATGGAGCAAACACACAAAAGTCTAAAACGAAACACAAAACACACTGAGATGGGCAACGAGTACAGCCTACTCGTCGC